CAAGACCTCATCTCTACAATAAATCAAAAATTAGCCGGGCGTGGTAGTGTGCACCTGTAGTTCCAGCTCCTTGGAAGGCTGAGGCGGAAGGATCGCCAGAGCCCAGCAGGTCGAGGCTGTGGTGGCCGGGAACGGCCACTGCACTCCAGTCTGGGTGACAGAGTGCGACTCCAACTCAAAAAAAAAAAAAATATTGAAATCCTCAAAACCCACTTGGGGACTTGGGCAGGAGGCAAAGATAATGGAGCCTGATGGTGTTTCTTTTTCCCAGGCATGTTCTCAACTTTGGCAAAATAAACCTCTAAATGGATTGAAATCTATCTCAGGGTCATTTTGTGAAGAGATGACTGAGCGGTTGGTTGGTGCTGCATTGCCAGTCTCCAGCAGCAGTCGGCTTCTTCACGAAGAACCCAGGAGTAGGAGACTCAAAATCTTCTCTCCCTTTCCCCTCCTGGTTACAAAACACTTGAATATGTAAGTTAGTGGAACTTTGCTTGAGTGAGATTTTTTTGATCTTCAGCTACATTTTTCGGCTTCGTGAGGAACCTTATCATCAAACACAATGGCTAGCAATGTTACCAACAAGACACATCCTCGCTCCATGAACTCCCGTGTATTCATCGAGAATCTTTTTTTTTTTTTTTTTTTGAGTCGGAGTCTCACTCTGTCACCCAGACTGGAGTGCAGTGGCACGCTCCCAGCCACCGCAGCCTTGACCTGCTGGGCTCCGCCTCGGCCTTCCAAGTAGCTGGAACTACAGGCACGCACTACCACGCCTGGCTGATTTTTGATTTATTGTAGAGATGAGGTCTCGCCAAGTTGCCCGGTGCAGGTCTCGAACCTGCGGGCTCAGGCAATCCACTCACCTCGGCCTCCCAAAGCGCAGTATTACAGGCTGAGCCACTGAGCCCAGTCCATCAGGAATCTTAACACTCTTGTGGTCAAGAAGTCTGATGTGGAGGCAATTTTTTCGAAGTGTGGCAAAATTGTGAGTTGCTCTATTCATAAGAGCTTTGCTTTCATTCAATATGTTAATGAGAGACATGCCCAGGCTGCTGTAGCAGGAGAGGATGGCAGAATGATTGCTGGCCAGGTTTTAGATACTAATCTGGCTCCAGAGCCGAAAGTGAACCAAGGAAAAGCAGGGTGTGAAACAATCTGCAGCGGAAACGTACGGGTCAGTACCAGAACACCCTTCTCTGTCCTCTCTACTCAGCTCCTCTTTTGACTTGGACTACAACTTTCAGCGGGATTATTATGACAGGATGTACGGTTACCCAGCACGAGTTCCTCCTCCTCCTATTGCTCGGGCTGTAGTGCCCTCAAAACGCCAGTGTGTATCAGGAAACACCTCACGAAGGGGCAAAAGTGGCTTCAATTCTAAGAGTGGTCAGCGAGGATCTTCTTCCAAGTCTGGAAAGTTGAAAGGTAATGACTTTCAGGCCATTAAGAAGGAATTGTCGCCGGGCTCGGTGGCTCAGCCTGTAATCCCGCGCCTTTGGGAGGCTGAGGTGAGTGGATTGCCTGAGCCCGCGGGTTCGAGACCCGCCTGGGCAGCGAGACCTCATCTCTACAATAAATCAAAAAATCAGCCGGGCGTGGTAGCGCATGCCTGTAATTCCGGCTCCTCGGAAGGCTGAGGCGGAAGGATCACCGGAGCCCAGCAGGTCGAGGCTGCGGTGGCGGGGAGCGGCCACTGCACTCCAGTCTGGGCGACTGAGTGAGACTCCAACTCAAAAAAATAAAAATTAAAAAAAAAAAAAAGAAGGAATTGTCTCAGATAAAACAAAAAGTGGATTCTCTACTGGAAAAAATTGAAAAGGAACAGAGCAAACAAGCAGTAGAGATGAAGAAGAAGACAGAAGAGGAGCAAACTACCACCTCTGTGAAGAAAGATGAGACTAACGTGAGGATGGAGTCTGAGGGGGATGCAGATGACTTTGCTGAGGAGGGGGACCTACTGGATGATGATGATAATGAAGATCGGGGAGATGACCAGCTGGAGTTGATCAAGGATGATGAAAAAGAGGCTGAGAAAGAAGAGGAAGACAGAGATAGCGCCAATGGCGAGGATGACTCTTAAGCACATAGTGGGGTTTAGAGATCGTATCCCATTATTTCTTTTTTTTTTTTTCTTTTTTGAGTTGGAGCCTCACTCTGTCACCCAGACTGGAGTGCAGTGGCCGCTCCCGGCCACCGCAGCCTCGACCTGCTGGGCTCCGGTGATCCTTCTGCCTCAGCCTTCCAAGTAGCTGGAACTACAGGCACACACTACCACACCCGGCTAATTTTTTTATTTATTCTAGCAGTGAGGTCTCACCAAGTTGCCCAGGCAGGTCTCGAACCTGCGGGCTCAGGCAGTCCACTCACCTCAGCCTTCCAAAGCGCGGGATTACAGGCTGAGCCACCAAGCCCGGCTTCCCATTATTTCTTTACCTAAGCACCTGTCTAAGATCAAAATTTTCACCAGATCCTCTCCCCTAGTATCTTCAGCACATGCTCACTGTTCTCCCCATCCTTGTCCTTCCTATGTTCATTAATTCATATTGCCCTGCGCCTAGTCCCATTTTCACTTCCTTTGAATGCTCCTAGTAGTTTTGTTAAGTCTTACCCCGTAATTTTTTCTTTTAATTTTGATACCTCTTTATGACTTAACAATAAAAAGGATGTATGATTTTTTTTTTTTTAAAGAAGAAAGAAATCTATCTCAATCACTTTTTGGTTTACAGAGAGGTTATTTTTTCCATAGGGTTTCATAAAAAGAGTAGCGTTTCAGCAGCGTATTAAAGGATGATGGTAATGGCATAAAGGAGGAAACATTAATAATGAAGAAAAGAAACATTAGGACAGGCACGGTGGCTCAAGCCTGTCATCCCAGCACTTTGGGAGGCCGAGGTGGGAGGATTGCCTCAGTCCAGGGGTTCAAGACCAGCCTGGGCAACTTGGTGAGACCTTGTGTCTACAATAAATCAAAAAATTAGGTGGGCATGGTGGCACATGCCTGTAGTTCCAGCTACTTGGAAGGCTGAGGTGGAAGGATCGCCTGAGTCCAGCAGGTAGAGGCTGCGGTGGCTGTGAGCATGCCACTCCACTCCATCCTGGGCAACAGAGAGAGACTCCAACTCAAAAAAAGGAATCAACCTAACCCTTAACTGTACCCCACAACTTCACAATAAAAAAAAAAAAGGAATCAGAAAAACACAGCAAGTCATCTAGTTTAACTGTATTTTTAAAGTATCTGAGGAGGAGTAGAAGCCATTTGCATAATGGTAGATAGCAAATGGATTTCAGAACTTCCCAATCTCTCTCAAAAGACCTATTGTCTTTCTTTGACAGAATCTTTTTTTTTTTTTTTTGAGTTGGAGTCTCACTCTGTCACCCAGACTGGAGCGGCCACTGCAGCCTCGACCTGCTGGGCTCTGGTGATCCTTCCGCCTCAGCCTTCCAAGTAGCTGGAACTAAAGGTGCGCGCTACCACGCCCGGCTAATTTTTTTTGATTTATTGTAGAGATGAGGTCTCACCAAGTTGCCCAGGCGGGTCTCGAACTCGCGGGCTCAGGCAATCCACCCACCTCAGCCTCCCAAAGGCGCGGGATTACAGACCGAGCCACCGAGCCTGGCTCAGAATCTTTTTTTTATTTTTTATTTTTTGAGAAACAAGGTCTCACTCTATCACACAGATTAGAGTGTATTGGTGTAATCACAGCTCAATATAACTTTGAATTTCAGGACTCAAGCAATCCCCCCACCTCATCCTTCATGCAACTAGGGCTACAAGTGCATGCCACCATGCCCAGCTAATGGTTTATTTTTTGTGGAGACAAGGTCTCACTATGCTGCCCAAGCTGGTCTTGAACTCCTGACCTCAATCAATCCTCCTGTCTTGGCCTCCCAAAGCACTGGGATCACAGGTGTAAACCGCTGAACCTGGCCCCAGAATCTTCCTAAAACTGTTTCAGTTCAACTACTAAATATTTCTGAAAAGTAACTTCCTTTCTATTCTGCTTACTTCTCCCATTTTCTAGAGTTCTCTTTCTCGGGCCTCAAATAGGCCCGGTATCTCTGTTAGGCTATAGATTTAAAAGACTTTTGAGAGAGAATCTGAGCACCTATTCCACATTTACAATGTATTTCAAATTCAAAACAATGAACTTCAAATTCATGAAACAAATATCTATCATTGCCTACTATGTATCATGTACTCATAAGTCCAGGAAACACAAAAATCAGTAAAAATGTTTCCTGCCCTAAAGGTATTATCCACTGTCAACTTTGGAGCAGAGACTTTCACAAAATGGAGAGTGACTATGAAGACATTTTGGAAATGGCCATGCAAAATATATCTAACCTGGAAAGCAATTTTGCCTTGGTTTGTGATGTCAGGAAAAAGGGTGCTCACCTTATTTTCAAATACATCCCCAGTCACTACTAGCACAACCCACAGTGATGGAGCTAGGCTTGTGTCAGGCATCCTGTTAGGCTTCGGAGATACAGATAGGAGCTAACAGCATTTCTTAAGTGCCTTCTGTTTGCCAGCTACTATGGCAGGTATTAGAGACAGGTCCCTAAAGATGGAAAGGAATATCCCAGAAAAGAAGGAAGCAGCAATCACAACTAACTCAATCTCTCCTGCCCCCGGAGTTCCTTCACTACATTGCCCTAGTTTTATGTCATGTTCTCCCAACTAATTGATTCGATGTCTTCCACTTTAACAGTCAAAGGGATCACCCTAAATCAATCTGATCATGTCAATGTCCTGCCTAAAATCTAGGTACAGCTCTCCATCATCTTGAGGACAGAATCCAAATGTCTTCACCCAGCAGACCAAGCTCTTCATAATGTGGTCCTTGCTTATTTCTAACTGTCCCTCAGTACTCTCTGTGACAACAGGCTCAGTTACTTGTACTTTCCTGAACACAGGCACTCCCTCAAATCACTGACTTTGCATGTGTTCCCTCTGCCTAAAAGACCCTTCCCTCAACTATTAATACTAATCCTCTTTCAGAATTCAGTTCTTGAAAAAAGAAGGAAGGGAGGGAGGGAGGGAGGAAGGAAGAAAGGGGAAGAAGGGAAAAGAAGACCAAAAAAAAAAGCCTTCTCTGACTGTTCTCAGTACTCTCAACCCAGGATGAGTCAGGAAACCCTCCTCAGTGCTACTATAACACCTTGCATGTCCTTCTATCACAACACTTGTCATTCTATTCTACAACTGTTTATTTGACTTGTCTCCCCCAGAAGACTGTGAGCTCCTTAAGGGCTACTGTGTTTTTATCCTCATTTATATACTCAGTACCTAATATAATGCTGAGTATCTAGTAGGCATTCAGGAAACTAAATGCTTATTAAGAGACTGAATGAATTTTGTTTTTGTTTTTTGAGTAGGAGTCTCACTCTGTCGCCCAGGCTGAAGTGCTATGTCACACTCATGGCCATCACAGCCTCAACCTGCTAGGCGCCGGTGATCTTTCCGCCTCAGCTTTCCAAGTAGCTTGAACCACAGGCATGCTCCACCACACCCAGCTAATTTTTTGATTCATTGTAGAGACGAGGTCTCACCAAGTTGCCCAGGCTAGTCTCGAAGTCCTAGACTCAGGCAATCCTCTTGCCTCTGCCTCTCAAAGTGCAGGGATTACAATCGTGAGCCACCGTGCCCCCGGCAAATGAATAGTATTAAATATTTACCAGATTCCATGTGCAAGACTTATGGAGAAGTCTTCAATTTAGTCAATTTATTGGGTGCCTATAATATAAACAGTATCTTGCCAGATACTAAATTAAAAGACCTTAGCCAAAATGGAGTTACCTCAACCATGAAGGGCAGGCGGCTTGGCATCGGTTTATACTTTTGTCTTGTTATAGTAAATAATGTCTTACTTTCTTTTTTTTGTGTGTGTTGGAGTCTCACTCTGTCGCCCAGACTGGAGTGCAGTGGCCGCTCCCGGCCACCGCAGCCCCGACCTGCTGGGCTCTGGCGATATTTCTGCCTCGGCCTTCCAAGTAGCCAGAATTACAGGCATGCGCTACCACACCCGGCTGATTTTTTAATTTATTGTAGAGATGAGGTCTCGCTGCCCAGGCGGGTCTCGAACTCGCGGGCTCAGGCAATCCACTCACCTCAGCCTCCCAAAGGCGCGGGATTACAGGCTGAGCCACCAAGCCCGGCTATAATGTCTTACTTTCTAAAAGGCTCTGTTAACTCCCTTGCTCTGAGAAAAGCTTGATTAATTTCTCTGTCCAGAGTCACTGATAAGTAAAACTGTGACCTACCCCCAGTAACTGGCACCAATAAATTATAATTAACATCCAAGGATTTTTTCTCTAGCTATCAGCACAGTCCTGTTTACATGACAGACCACCTGATCTCCAAGATGAAGAAAACAGACAGTCATAATGGCACCAGCCCTCCTGCCATCTCCCCTAAGAATGTTTTTCCTCAGCCAGCTCGGTGACTCAGCCTGTAATCTCGCGCTTTGGGAGGCTAAGGTGAGTGGACTGCCTGAGCCTGCGGGTTCGAGACCCGCCTGGGAAAATTGGCAAGACCGCATCTCTACAATAAATTTTAAAAAATCAGCCGGGCATGGTAGCACATGCCTGTAATTCCGGCTACTCAGAAGGCTGAGGCAGAAGGATCGCCGGAGCCCCCAGCAGGTCGAGGCTGCAGTGGCCGGGGGCGGCCACTGCCCTCCCGGCT